TTGCACGTCCTATGCCCGAGACTGAATTAGCCTCGGTGAATATAATTCATATCAACTGAGTAGCCCTACAATCCACATACCCATCACATGAGCGCTTTTGTGTCACGCAACTTGAATCCGTCTGACACTTGCAAATGGAACGCTGGTCTTCCCTTGTGTTCCAGGAACGTGGTAAACTGCGGTTTATTGATGAGCGAGAATAGCGAAATGATTGTATACTTACGCTGGTGTGCCTGGAACACCACGTCGCCAATCTTAACAAATTTACTACGATGGTACCATAAGTTAACGTTGAACAGCATGAACGTTGCCGACCAAAATACAAAGATTTTAATTTAATTTCTAATTCAATTTCTATGTTTGACGAAACTTCAGAAATAGGCATGGCAAAATGAAATTGCAGAGTCAAATTTGCCTCAAGAACTTAAACTACCCAGATGAGTTTGACTCCATTGAATGGGGCTTATATCGCGTCGCCATTCCGACGGTTAAAATCATTTCAAAAACGAGTGCTTGTCACAAAATCAAAATTGGCGCTATCCAGGTTAGAGGTTGCGCAAGTGTCGCCAGGATCCCACCAATTTCATGACTTATATCCCTTCAGATTTGTGCTGGATTGCGGACGCTAATCGATATCTAGTTTTGCAACTGCTTCAATTAGGAAAAAAGTTCCGTTCGAATAGCACAGCCTTTCAAACAATATTGAACATTACAAGATTTTCATTCAACAATCAACCTTTAGAATTTTTTGGACATAAAAGTACTTTAGTATATCCGGGTAGGTAATTGGCTCATCTTGATCTATGTTTTGGCGACACAGAGGAGAACGAATACCGAATAATTTGAAAAGACCAATACGTTTTCTCTTGAGTTTGCATTTAGATTATATCTCGACCCAAAACAAACAAGACGCTGAATTTTCTAATTAGGATTGAAAATCTACATCGTATTGTACATTTTGAAATCGTTTATAAATTAACCAATGAGACACGCTGACGTAAATTAATGATCGCATTGCTTTATGCAATTATTGCATAATATACGGCCACCAACAAACTGGCGTTTTTTTTATCACGATAACCTATATTTGGAGGCTTACAGAGCAGGCTTCGGGATCAATAAATGGGTGCGATTTTGACATTAGCGTACACAAACTGTGCAAATCAATGTCGATCACATCATTTGTGAAATACGTCAAGGTCGAGTGAATCAGTATAAAATAAGGCAAAGCAGATGAAACAGCAAACAGTCTAAGAATTCTGGTCACCAATAATTATGTCAATATATTTTATGCTTATTGCCGCTGGTTTGTGTAGGTCACCTTTATTGTGAAATTCAACATCGTACGCGTATACACATATTACGTAATTATTGTGCATTTTAATTATTTGTTTTAGTGCAAAGCGTCCTGGCAAGGAGTATCCCAAAGTATGACTTATGTATTGGTGAGAGTAAGAAATGATATTTTTTACAAGCTGCATGTATTTTCCGACACGCGAGTGATGTAAAAATGTGAGCACAATAGGATGTCTACATCCTCGGTGATTGTGTGATTCAGATTCAAGTAAATTTTTACGCCTCCAAACACACTGTTCTAAAATGCAGGAGAAAACTCAACTCCCAGATAGGAATACTTCCGGTATCGAGAAAGAATGACAAAACATACATCTGACATTCGCACCCAACGTTTATATTTAAAATTTTATTCTTATTAGAGCATTACCAATTCATGTAAACGAAGCACTGAGATGATGTTTGTGCACAAATACTATCAAACGAATGAACTTTTAGTAATCCTCGATGATTTCACTTCTGGAGACAACTTGATGGCGTCGTCACAGGGCATATTAAACCTGGTTAACTGCGATCGGAACGTTCCCGTTGCAGTGGTATTCATTGGAGACCGAGATTTCGTCAGATTGATCACTAAGAAATACATTGCACCCTGTCTCCATTCTTTTGTGGCACTTAGATATTAGTTCCTAACGCGTTTAAGCCCCAAAGCAAATACATTTTTCAAGACGGTTGAATTACCGAATTAACTGTAATGCCATCGTTGACACGGGAAAAAATTCGGGAAATAAGCCTCAAATCGGAGGGAGCACACAAGCTATAGAATGGCTTTTCCACGTGTATGCTGGAAAAGTCTACCGAATATAAATTACACAAACATCAGTTTTCCTTAGAAACGACGATCGATCAGAGGGTCAGATGAACCACAATCATATTGTTGGCTCATATGCAAAGCTATTTGTTCGCTTTCGTTTCCAAAAGACTGCATGATATAGGGCCTCCGATGCCACTCACCACTGGAAGAAATGCATCAGCAGATTTCGCCCCATTTCTTTTGCAGATTGATTATTATTATTGGCTGTTCTTCCGTTCTTTCACAATAATTTTTAAATTCTTAGAAGCATGCGGAGATGATCCACAAGAAGATGATGGTAAGTGGTTAATAACCTTAGAAACTAAATCCTGTAGAGCTATATGAACATGAAGTTCTTGGGAAAATCATGCTGCCTATCGGTGCACGTGTTGTCTGGCTAGCCTCGACTTTCCGGCCATTCAGTCAAGCACAATAAAAACTGCTTTGTTCATAAAAATATAAATACAAACACGGATTTTAAGCCTGTCCCTTGTGTGTTCGTGTGTGATACACGATTTGGAAGACGTGCTTGGCTGTCTAGCACACAAAACCACGGCAACAGGTGAATAACCACAGTAGGCTTTCTTCAAAACCTGACGCGGTCGATCCAAATGATCACCGTCTAAATTTGGGTAATATAATACTCAAAAATGAAGTTCAGCAGTAGTCCACACCATGGCTGTCGAACAGAGAATGCATTTCAGATCTGAATCTTTGTGGAGCGTAATTGCGACTTGGATGAGCGTAGAATTCAGGGGGATTGCTTGATGGAAATCCTCAGAGGAGAAAATTTACTCCGAAGCAATTTTACGGATGAAGCTTGTGTTTTTATTCATGTGCATCTCAGTAGTAATTGTTTTTTTTTCGTTTCAGATGCAGCAGTTGAGAAAGTGGATTCGTGTTACGGTAAGTACGCAAAAAATCAGCTGATTATCGATTTGTGAATGGCATCTCGTCCAGCCACCCTTCAAAGTACTACGTTCGCGTCGTTGGTTCACGTCTTTCCGGATTTGCGTTGTAATCCGGGGAGAGTTTAAGCTATTATATCCGGAGAGCCATGACACGGGATCGGAAATCCGAAAGATTTTTTGCCCAAGAAATCCGATAAAAATCGGAGCAGGTTTCAACTGCGAGCATTTTGTTCACTCAATTTTATGCCAAATAATTCTATTTGTTCCTCTTCAGATCTGTGCAATTACGAAGAGAAGAACCGTTGCGTAGGTCTGTCAGGTCGTTAAAGTTCACGTGCAATGATGAGCCTAATATATTTGAAAGCAATTAGGTTTTTTGAACTTTCGAATGGGTTTTGCAAACTCACATGGGTCAGGGTAATGAAATCGTCATCCACGCCGCCGTGGCTTGTATGTTCGCGGCGGAGCACTCGATAAGAAATATCTGGTTAAAAATAGCTTAGGGTTGGCGAGTCAAAACTAACTCCGTGTTTCAAAAGCAACCTGTCTTACTATTTGGCGGCACGAGTAGCTTCTGTTCTCACAAAGCTCACACTGCATGATCTGAGGTTTTAATTATTGTGACTGTAGCTGCGACATTAGACACCCTTGATTAAGCCCCACACATAACCCATTTTCACTGTATGCTAGAAGCTTCCACATGACAGAGTGTGCTACAAATTATTAGAACACCACAGAGTTTTATTTTAACAATTTCTTCCAGAGGAGCACAAGAAAAACGAAGGCAAAAGACGTGGGTTTTAACCATGGACACGGCTCTATTATTGTCTGCCATATTCGCGTGATCAACTACCGCGCACCTACGTTAAACTTTTTAGCAAAATGTCGCCATCCACTTGGTTCAATCACTTGAATTATACAGAAAAATACTGCACCATTCATGGCACAACCACCCAATGTGGCCGCTATGTGACGAAGTTGCTTTCTCTAAATCGAGTGTCGGATTATAGACGCCGGGTAATGACAAACCGTGTTCTTGGCCCGGCTGCCCAAATTGTGCAGTGAAAAATAGTTGAGATATGCGTGTTCTTAAAAGAAGTCGAACCATACGAAAGATCAAATATAATCTAGATTACTGCGGAACGCGAGGGAGCTGATCAAAGTGCCTAGATTTTTGGGCAAAGTCTCAAAATGCGTAGCCATATTTCAAAATATCTGAAAAGCGTTGTTTGAAGAAAGAAGACGTTATAAGTTATTTTATTATGTCCGACACTGTCTTGGATGAATCCACCTAAAAATGTGAGAAAGGCACAACACGATCTCATATCCAGACATGTCCTTCCTTATTGATCTGCAACGCCGATCTCCAGGTAGATGCTGGAAAGATGCTCTGGACCGCTGCGTAGGTGAGTTTGTTCAAAATATCATGCATTTGCACCGTATAATTCATTATTAATTGACCAACATTTACAAAGAAAATATGTAGCTGAGCGAATTCGTCCACTCACGGAAGGTCGCAATACGTAACTCGTCGTCAATTATTCCCTCAAAAATTTGTGTGACGACAATGTTTTATTTCATAGTAACTCAAATGCGACCTGGGGCTGCATATAACAAAATGCTCTTTTTGCTGCAGTCCGGTGCGCTGAAGACGAACTTTGCTTAAGTGAGTTTTCCTAGCTATCTTCCTTCAGTCAGTTAGCGGTGACTAGTTCGGTTAGCTTTGTCAACAAAAGTAATCTCAAGTAACTAATGCGCACACAGTCACTACTATGCAATTTACCGGTACGCGGCGGTCTGCATAAAATCTCGTTGACTGCCTACTAACTACTTAATACTACTAACTTGGATAATACGATGATATCAGTATGCGAGCCCTAATTTCGATGGATTTTATTCACGCGAGTCGCAGAATTCGGAAATGTTACCATTTTTGTCTTATTTTATACATAAAGCATCATCTAAATTGAAATTAATATACAAAATGGTCTTTAACATCCACCAATATATTGTATTTGTACTTGGACCGTTGCGTTGAGGTAAACCATTCACATTTAGCAATCGCGTGAGGTATCCCAACCGCTTGAGAGAGCAATTTTATTACTCAAGCTGACTGAACTTTAGCAGCGGTTGCGTGGTAAAACAGCGGTCGCCATAAATGTATGACGCTGAAAATATGTTTTGTCTGTAGGTGTGTGATTGGCCTTAGCATTATTTCGATTTCATTGCTGAAACTCGCCTGTTGCTCACAAGTGACATGGTACCTGCAAAACGCATTCGGTTTATCCAGACCGACTCAGCAGGTGTGCTATTACGCTGTTGAAAAAATTTGCTTACATGGACATAACTACACGCGACATATTTGTGTTTGCGCCGATTAGTGTTGTGCTTGTAAATGTTTCGAGCAAGAATTTACCCACTTTTACCAAAGGTTGACGTACTAACGCTTGTAAAATGGACATAGAGTTTTCGATTAAATTGTGTCCTTTATTGGCGTGCTAGTAGATAGAAAGCGGTGTTGATGCATTCATGCGCCGTCATGTGTTTGCTCACCGAGTGGGTTACGATAAAAACGGCCGCTTTACAAAGCGATGAATAATGCTAACCGCAGCCGAAATTCTTTAGTTATTCTCATACGAAGAATTTTTTGGTTGATGGGCGCCTTACATGAGTAATTCTGTGTGCTTTCCCGATAGCGCTATATGCGAATTCAGCAGGCTAGATCAACCAAGTGTACTACTGTCATTAGTGCATTTCGTGAGGGTTTTACACCTTGACTTTCCGAAAATTTGAAAGCACCAATAATAAGTGACAAATATGATGTCATTCAACCTGGATGAATGATTTTCAGAAACATGCCGCGCCTTATATTATCGGCCTGGTGAGTCCCAAA